TAATCTATAATATATCCTAGACAGATAAACCGTCTTCGATCAGAATCGTTTTTCGTATACAATGATATAATATCATTGGATTCAAATTTAATTCCATCCATATACAGTAACCCACTTGTAACCTACTGTACATCAGAGCGACATCCACGACTTACCCGCCTTTTTTTTTTTTAATTTCATCTACATAACCACGTGGTATTAATATGAATTATGCACCTACAAAATTGTAACATTATTTATTTTTTAAGTAGTTAAGAAACATAATAGTAATATATGAAAACTGCATGAACCTTTTTCTTTCTTGATTTATTTAGTGGGTAATGGAATAATGTTATTTTTTAAATAATTTAAATACTAAATATACCTAATATGCAATGAATAATATTTTTTTTTATTATAACTGCTACTTATAATACTTATACTTACACTTATATTAGTGGCTATTAACTACCTAGGCTACCTTTGTTTAAAGTTGTATATCTGCCTAATATTTTTTATCTATTATTATGCAGTAACTTTACTGTAGTGAATAGGAAAAACAATTATTCAAGAAAAAAAGGGTTAAAATAATGAAAGTTAAAATAATCTCAAGAGACATATAACATATATTTTACAAAAAATCTGAAGACAACTTAGATTCAGCTGTGTAAAAACTGTCAACGGTGCATGATTTATTTTTTAAGTTTCAAAGATAAATATGTAGGGTTCTTTAGGGTATACAACTTCTTGGCATTTCAAATTTTGATTACTCAAAGATTCGATAACTGCTGAGGAAAACATTTATTTATTATATCTATTTATAATGACTGACTTCGCAGTAGCAACCTTCGACTAATTTCTCTAGATGAGAGAGGTGAACTCATTACATATTATATTTTATTACATTTACATTGTGTGGAAAAAAAGTTATTATACTTTACTCGTTGCAATATCTCTTGCGTGTAAAATATACAAAAAATATAATATTAATTAGTAAAATAAAAATATAAATTAGTTACTCATGATAATACATAATAGTGTTAATTAATAATTTACATAATGCACTATAGATTATAGGCTATAGCTATTACAATAAAATGCATTTAAATTAGTTAACAAAATGATAAGAAAATAATTATTCTGAGTAAAAATATTTATTACGATTTATAGCAATTAATAAATAGATCTTATTAACTGTATGCGGTCGTACTACTTACGTGTTTTTATATTGACTTTATTTCTAAATAATCAACTCGCGATCGTTTGTATTTAAATAGGTAATAATTCTATGAATAATAAAAATTTAATACTACACTATTAAAATAGTTAGTAAATATAGATATAGATATTTTTAATTTTAATATGCAATAATTAATTAACACTTGATCACTAATCATAAGAAAACAAATGGCTGACATTTAGACATTCAGTCCGAAAAAGTAGATGAGAAGAAAATACTCGCGGTCGCATACGGTAACGGCCGGTTATTGTAGGACGACAAATCAAGTTTGATCGTGTCAATGTCCACCTCACTGATCGTTGAGAATAGGTACCGTACGGTTTGTCGCCCATCTTTCACAGCCAGATAGAAAACGTTAAAGGTGAATAGTTAACCAACAGCTTTGACTTTTGCACGAATGCGGAGACAGCGAACGGTTATGTCGTCCCTCCGTTTTAATTTTTATTTTTCAAATTCCATATTAAGTTATATAGTCATAAAAAAATATATTACTCGTAAAATTAGATGAGATACACCCTGTATATTATATAACGCTTGTCTGAACGATGTATTAAATATATACCCTATAATGTGTATAATATATGTTATATATTTAAGCTAATGACAATCCCTCTCGGCTCTGTTTATGTTTTATGTGAAGAGTTAGAGTGACAACGGTCCGTCGCTTTCCACACAACTTCCCCCTTTTAATTTTGAAAAGTGCTGCATTTCGTTTGTCCGAAACAAAGAGGTAGCGAGAACAATGTCAAAAAAACGTCCACTCAAAAGAGTATGACGAAATAATGGAGGAGATACCAGTATACCACCCCTGTTTGTTGTACGCGTATTGTCCTCGGTAAACGAGTAATCTTTTAGATCAAACAAATAGTGTTTACGCAAACATAATCATGGATTGACTTATTGTAAACAAACATTTTTGGGTTTTCGATTAAAAAATAAGCGTAACAGAATTTGGATTAAATATTTCATAGGGAAAATTGTTTCGTGTCCGAAAATGATAAATGTTGCTCGCGCGGACGACTTGCCAAAAGTGAAGTTGTCCCAGGGGGCACATAAAGAACTTCAATATATGGGGGAAGTTCTTGTGAAATCTTATTTAACCATCTAAGACCTTTGTGTTACGGTTCAAGTATCGGCCAAGAGTGTTTGGCTTTAATTGGACGTTACGCCTGTTGGTCAACTCAATTTTCTAAAAAAAAAAAATGATCAGAACCGTCTGTATAAAGGTTTACAAGGTACACCTACGTTATACACACATATATTATAATACATCCTCATCGCCATTATAGTTTACGCAAAAGTGATAACTATTCTAGATTTAGAATCTGTACATCTATTGTTTAATTGCATTATTATTGCTCGTTGTACAACACATTCAATTATTATGCCGAACAGCGATATTTCGAATTTTTCGTAAATACTATAGCCTCATTGAAATCCCCTTGAAATAATTACCATGATTACAACGAAACTCAATACATCGAAATGTTTGATATCTCAAACTTTTTTCTATTTCCCTCGAGTTTTGACACAACGAGAGTAAGTTAACTGTATTATTATTACTGATGATACCTTTATACTACATAAGTGATGTATATATGACTTTGTTAAAGGTTCGAGAGTCTATTTATTATATAATCAACGAATTCAAATTAACCTGGCGTTTCGATTAACAGCAATATTCGGTTTGGCTATAAATTGCATTATGCAAAACCCGGGATTGCATTATAAATACATACCTACCATAATAATAATACATTAGGGAGGTAAAGTGTATATTGTACAAATAGGGTACCTTTCCGGTAATATAATTCCGTAAACTGGATTATT